ATGACAACAATAATGACAACAATAATGACAACAATAATGACAACAATAAGTGCCCCCTTTCTTAAGCATACCTTATTTTTACTAAAAATATTTTTCTTCTTGAAGGAGAACAAAACAATATCTCTGTAATCTGCTGGATGCTTCACATGAGTATCTTCAGCCCAATACTGAAGAATACGGGAAGTCTTGTTGATGAGCCAATATGGACTGAACAAAGACAAGATCATGCGACTTCCAGCTTGTCTAATATGTATGGATATATCCACTGTCATCAGTTCTGCAGAGTGCGATGTGAAACACACTGAAAAAAATTCAGGCATCCCATCAGAAATTTTGAGATGCCCACTCCAGTTTTTGCCTTGATATTTCATCAGTACAAGCTCCATTAATTCGCCATTGATTCTTGACTGAAAAATATCTGCTGCACTCCCTTCTGGCAACTCATGGACTTCTGCTGTTCCCTGTAAGAGAAAACTTCACTTTTAATTCTGTTTTCCTGGTTTTCTAAGGTAGAAAATTCACGTGTTTATATAGCAGCATTTGGGTACTGAATTACAGTCAAGAGCAGGAAGACTGAAAATCGTGCCATACTATGCTCTGTGCAAATGAGAAACAGATGTAAATGTAAGTCACTAGTTATGAGAGAAGGACAGAATCACCATTCTAATTTTTTTTTTTTTTTAAACTCTGCACTCCTTTTCTATTTCATGAAATTCATTCAGCTTTCACAGAGAAATACTAGACATTGAAGATACAGACAAGAGAAAAAAATCTGCAGAATATTTTGCAAGGAATTCCTCTTTGATCTGGGCAAGTGAGACTTCACAATATTAATGAACGGTGCATGCCAGAATGACAATGAAGTTGCATTTTTGTGGAAGAAATTACTTTTAGATAGCTCAGATACTTTTTCTTATGCCTTTACCCAAGAGCCAAAAGCTATCTTGCAGAACATGATCAGGCTCTTGAGAGGGTATAACAAGTCTTTCTGAGCACATGATTTTTATTTCAGGAGCAAAGCAGGGTGCACCCAAAGAAACAGCAGTTAATACCACAATATCTCACAAACCAACCCACCAAGTGACTTGGTTATAACAGAAAACACATCAGGCAGCATTCAGTTTCTTCTACATCTCATTCACCTTCTATTTTACAAGGGATATAATCTTGTTTCAAATCAGGTAAAGGCTTTAAAAATGAAACTGGAAGATAATTTACCTCAAGTAAATACCTCAATGAATATGGCAGAAGGTTCCTCACAGTCAGCGTAGGGTAAAGGTGGATAATGTAGGCAGGATCCCACTCCTCTCCAGAGGCAGAAATAAAATTCAGTTGATCAGGTAGAGCTACTGTGCTAACTATCAGAGGTAAGAAGTTTGTCTCTGTAGACGGGCACTGTAACAAGCATTTTACTTCATTGCTCCGATGTAGCTCTTCCCTCCAAACAATGTAAGTTGTGGACTCTCTGAATTGATCTTCTAGCACGCCTGTTGGTTGAATATACAGATGACACCTATGGAAAGAGGATAGGTTAACACTACACAGAGTAGTTTTGCATGACTAACTTCAATCATTTGAACCATCCTGGAGGGTCTTTGCAGAACACTGCACAACTACCTAATCAYGATAACATTTGCTTTTCATTAGCCCCAGTCGGGAAAAAAGTAAGTTCCAAGTGCACATTTAAGATTCTGCAGTAATGTTGCATTTATACATATAGTCTCACAATGACGTGACCTATAAAATTGTATCTGTAAGAATGTAAAGGAAAGTAAYGTATAAGATTGTACCTGTAAGAATGTAAAGGAACATGAAATTCCTCTTCTGGTTTAGATATGCCAATGGGCTCCAGTGCTCTGGAGTCTTTAGCCAATTTATAGATTTTGAATGGGATGGAGAAATGGTTTTTGATCTAGGATAAAAATGCATATGTTGGATTACATTTGTATTTCACCAATTGAACAATTTGTTTAAAATATCATATCATATAAAAGGTACAGATTCCAACACAAGGATAAGGTTATTATGAGGGCCAGAATTAAAACTCAAGCACAAAAATAACACAAACAAAACAACTCCCCCTGCAAAAAACAAAAACTTACCATCTTAATCATTTCTTGGAAAAAACGCAGGTACGCACAGTACGTTAATTATCTTTCACATCAAACAGCTTTTTAGAAAAAGATGATCTGATAAAATTGCATTAAGAAATTACAGTGAAGTCGCACTCTGAGAACACTGCTTATGTGGGGTTTTTTTTTTGTGTTACGTGTTTTGCTTTGTTTTTTTTACCTGAAGAGGAGATCGTACAGTAATAACTTTATTTCCTTCTGTAGCATCTATTTGTACAAGGACAGAGTCTGAACGATCACCAAGCTGACTTTTTACATTATACAGTCGACGACCTGGTTTGGCTATGGGAGTTTTTACTACCTCTTTATATCCTTGAATTCCTAATCAATAAAAAATAGAAAAAATAATCAGGAAACACGTATGGATAACTGTTTTAAAGATTTCAGCAATACTTAAGATTCTCTAAACTAACAACCACCACAGTTGTCCTAGAACAAAAGTAACTTGAAATGGCATCTGAATGCAGGGGTAAAAATTCTCCAGACCTTTACCTTCCCTAACTTGAGACTGTTACTTACACCCAGTTTGATATTTATACCAAGCATCAGACTCAGTTTGGGTGAGTGAAAAATTGCAACACACAGAACATAATTTTGGTATCATGGCCCAGAACAGGATGAAAAAGGAAAAAAAAAACTCAGCAAAAAGTGACATCATGTATTAGGACATACTACATCCTACACTCCTAGGAATATTTTTTAGCGAGCTGAATATTCGGAAAAAATCATAATCGCTCCGAATTAAGCGATTAACTACAGGAATACAAGTTGTAGGAGAGGGCATGAGTAAAATGGGAATAAAATTCCCATTTAAAAGAAGAGGGAAACTATATTCCTTGTTCAGTCTGTAAGATGGTCTATTAGTGACTCCAATAGTGAACATGTCTCTCGCTTTTTCCAATGGGAAAATAAAATGTGGACTTTTCAATTTCTGAAGAAAACTCAGAGAAGAAATTTTACCTCCTTATAAGTTGTCCAACAGCGGGCAATTTTCTTTTTTTTTTTTTTTTTTAAATTATAACTGTCAGTAGTGAGAAGCAGTTTCATCACAGGATGTACTTCACCTGAATTTTGATTTTAATTATGGACTACCATGCTGACTCCCCCATTCTCACCATCCTCAACACCACCTTAATGTATATTTTTTCCCAGAACAATACCTAAGTTTAAAGAGAAGAGGGAGCTTTCTTGCCGGTGCAATGCAGAGAGCTTTCCTCGTTGAAGAGGTTCAAAACCAGAGTATTCCAATTCCAGATTCTGCCCAATTTCTACTTCGTTCACGCTATCCCTTTCAGCTGAATCAACTCTCCGAAAATTAGAGCTAGGAAGCACTTGGAGAGAAACTCCCAGGGCATTTTTCACTATAAAAGGAGCAGAGTCCTTAAAGGAATAATCAAATGTGGATGCAGTCCCTTCTGAAAATGCCTGCAATGAAAAACATATAAAAAATGTTATATGCAAATAGCCACAACATGGATGTAATGTTGAAATGCTTTTAAAAAAAGTGCCAAGAAAACAGTATTCTAAATTAAAAAAAAAAAAAAAGGACAAAAAAAAAAAAAAAAAAAAAAAAAAAAAAAAAAAAAAAAGGGGCAAAGAGAAAAAAAAAAAAAAAAGAACAAGTTCTATGCACTATAGCACCTACCGGACATTTACTTTATCCTCAATCACAATTACTTCCAAACAGTGCTATTATTCCACAGAGTCCTATTAACTGACCCAAATCAGCATAAACTATATTTACTTAAGAGCTTACTCTCTTTTACTTTCTCAGGGAACTGATGTCCATTTAGAATTACAAAATAAATGTTCATAGATCACATGCTGTACATAAATAGTTTGATTCAGTGACCAAAAATTCATTTTCCTCAAGAGAAAACGAGAAACATAACCTAGGGTACTCGTAATTATTCTTATWGACAGAAGAATAAAAAAGTAAAAGTAAAAATAAAATTGAAGGCTAGTTTCCCAAAAAACAAACCATTCACTGCATCCTGTTACACAACAGCCTTACAAGYAGCAGATTAAGGAGCAAACCACAGGAAAATTAAACACTCCAAGAAACATGACTGTTTCCTACTACAATCAATTTTCTGACAGATTAAAAGTGTACTTCCCTTCTACCACCCACCATCCTCAAGTCCTACATAACGAAGTGTTCTCCTAACACAGGAGAACACTCCTAACACAGGAAAAAGCCAGCACTTGGGGTTTTTTTTGTTTTTTTTTCTTAAACTCTCAAGGACTATCAGTCTAACTCTCATTCCCATTAAATAACCTAACAGGGCTTCAGAACAATCACCAATTTATGCCCAGCCACACAAATTTCTTCAAAATTCAAATAATTCAGCACCTTCTGCCCATAAGGATTACCTTAGCTAGATTATCAAACACAGCAAGACAACTTTTGGATATTGTTATGTTCATTGTGTCCTTTGAAGATATGTTAACTGCAGTTTGCGGCTCAGGAAGAACAATAAAATCATCCCCAGGCATCAGACTTTTCTCTTGAACAGGGTTGGTTTTCATCTAAAACAAAAAGTTTATTAGGTAGCTATGCATGCAAAGACCTATGTTCTCTTATGCTAAAATGGGAAAAAAGTTTACCTAGGTGTGAATATTTTCCAAACCAAACCAAAAAGAMCCCAACAACCTACTTTACCTTGAAAATCCATAAGGTATTCCTCTGAATATTATTCAGAAGAACTTAAGATGTCTTATAGACTGAATTTTTCCATGTCAAGTTGCACAGCCACCTCAAAGCAAGAGTGTTTCAAGTGTTGTATTAAATGAAACTGTTATTTTACTAGCTCTCTACTCAGACCGAGTATTTCAGGATCATGTATCTTTACATACTTCAAACTTTAAACTCCATTGCTTCCTCCCTCCTTCAATTCGTTCAATAAGAGGCTCCCACACCGCATAAGTTTCATTGTAATAGTGAACCTGAAGAAAGAACAAAAGTTCAATACGGCATCCAAAAATAATTAAAAAAATAAGCTTCTAGAGCAGCTAGCACGATTGCGTATCAAAAATTGCCTTTTTCAACCTCACTTTCAAATTTCTGTGTCCTGATTTTTTGAAGGCTTAAAAAATAATATTCCCAAAAAAAGTGTAGTGTATCACCCATTTTTGCTAACTGACATAATTACGTCATCTGACTTAATTTTAGAAAAAAAGACCAAACAATGGGGAAAATTCCCTAACTTGGCTTCCTATCTTYACTCAAGTAATGCAGTCTCTACTATCTCCTATGGTGCCCGTGAAGGAAATATTTTTTTGTAATAATCGTTGGTTCTACATACCTCCAGTGCCATATCAGCTGTGGCCTCCATAAGCGAAGACCAGTTTTTAAGAACACCTGAAAACACAGATTCTACCAACAACAAAGGAACAGTACGATGTCCCTGGCCACACTCCAAGGTGACCTGAAATGATTTCACTACAATGTCAAACTTCTCTTGCTTCAGAACATGCTCACGGTCCTTAAAAGTTTCTGTTGCTTCGGTGGCTACATCCACACCAAGAAACCAAGCATTGCACTGATCAATAGGCTTCACTTGCCACAGRTTTTCAGAAACTTCATCTGCTCCTTTAGAGTCTTCTTCTGTTCTTTTTGGTTTTATGGCAGCCATGATGGTCATCACAGTATTGAGAATTATTGGTGAGATCTTCAGAGAAAAGAAAGAGAAGACGATGAACCTCACAGCCCAAAGTGGTTTTGAAAAKTGGGCTGGCAGGTAAGACAAGGGAAAAGTGGAAATGACAAATACTTCTGGGGTTCTTTGTACAGATAGAGAGCATTACAAGGCTCTAACAAGATTTAAGCAACTTATATTCCAAGGTGAAAAAACAGAACCCATGCACTGATCTTCTCTTACTTTAATKCTATACTTTTAATTTTCTAGCTCTTCACTCATATTTCCACTGGCTCAAGGGCAATATTCTCTCAAGTCCTACTCTCACTCATGTATGGTACCCCTATAACTATAAGCGATATGCAACTTCCTCCTGTTACAATGTAAAGTGTCAATATAGCTACTTTTAAGAAGCTCTAATGATCAGAATACCATATTTGCAGAGTAATGTACAATACTGCTTCTATTAACAGCACATTTAAGCATACAACGTACTATTGCTCCAAATTTAAGGTTTCACCACTGATCTTTTCAGATCAAAAAATGCAAATTAGTGAATAATTTAAATAATCTAATTCTAGAGGGAAAGGCCTTTATTTTAGAGATATTTGATTTATTAATTCATCTATTAAGAACATGATGATTTACAAGGTATAACATCCTGGAAACCAAGTTATCAGACTTAAAATAGTCTTGAAGCAGCTAGCGCAGTTACATGCGCAAAAGCTCCCACAACCTGCACCCACAGGCCACCAGATCCCCACATCATTTAAAAGTATTAATTAACTGGAAAAAAAAAGCATTCCTATTTTCTCAACAAGGATACTTTGGCCTTTCTGCATTGTCTACATGTATTTTTATTTTTCCTGTTTGTAATTCCCTGAAGAGAAAGCAGAGGGAAAAGTATGAATCTAGAAGACATTTGTAGGAGGAAGTATCTGAAGCAGTAGTATCTAAATAAATATGTTCTTTTTCTGTCAACAGGTTGCAAAAATTGCAAGTGAGTTGCTATATACATAACTACTATTAACAATAAAGAAACTGTGAAGATCTTGAGTGCCTACTAGCAGATTTAAAGTAATGGAGAAAACAGAAATGATGAATAGGAATATATTAATTTCCAAATCCAAACTAGAGCTCCCCCGAGACACACAACTGTTCACCTAAAGACAGCTTTAATATTCTTGCTTACCTTTATAGTAAGTTCTTCTATTGTTACTACCACAGTTTGTAAGCCTGAGACATGGGTCATATTTTCCATTACCAAAGAACACGGTCGTAACACCTGAGTGAAAAATTTGAAGCGATTATTATGATAATTCCACAATTTCAGCCTTCTTCATGCTCTTGCATTTTTAAATTTCATACGCCAGGTGATACAGATAGCATAAAATACTTCTTATAACATACGTTTCAATGTTATAAACAGATGTTGTCATGCTTCATACCAGTGTTCCAACTCACACAAAAGCTCTTTTGTAGAAGCAATTTAAAAGAGCTGGTAAAATAAGATTTGACAAAAGACTTGGAAAAAAAAAGGCCAAAATTCAACACAGAGATGATTCATTGAAATCAAAGTGAATGCTTAAGCGTACTAAACATGTAAGGAAAGCTATTAGGTGCACAAGGAAGTACACGTGCTGCCCTGGGAACCCTTGTGGCTCCCTGACTTGTGTAAATGATATTCCACACAGAATGTGTCGGGCTATCCTGAGCACCACACTCTGCTGCAACAAGCAAAGGGGCTAGCAGTCAGCTCGATGTCCAGTAGTGCTCTTGGCTTTCAAAAACTTCTTATGCAAAGAAGCCTGAAATTTAACATACCAATGCCCAGTGCTCTGAGCAAGCTCCTCGAGCTGAAGCTTACTGCTGCACTGTGATAAAGGTTTCATCCTTAAACATCCTTAAACATCCTTAAACAGCACAGGGCTACCTTATAGCCCCTCCCTGCCTGTCAAGGATTCTCACTACTTTTCTCAGGGCAAAATAAGTTTTCTTACCGTAGTGACACTCTTGTCTTGTTTTTGTTGAAGGAAGGCACAGGCCAACACTTTAAAGTCCTTTACTTGAGCTGTCATCCTTTGTGCAAGCTTTCCAGATGCCAGGGAAAAGTCACATTGGAAGGAAACCTTTAAGGCAGGGGCATCAGCACGGGTCAAATTTGCAACAAACACAATTTCTGGATCCATGATCACAGCTTTCACTGCCATATTTGACCGTATTTCTGTACAGGGAAAAAAAGAAATAAACAAACAAAAACACCCTTTAATTCTGTTTCATTACCAACAAGTAATTGGCTTCTTTAGAGTCAAGTTTTACTAACTGAAACAATTTCAGTAATATGGAATTTGATGTCTGAATGCCTATTCAGTGTTCAGACAGAGGAAGAGAATCATACTTATCCCACTTACAAGTGGGACGCTCTATCATGGTGTGTTCCTGGTGGCTGAGGAAGCCACGATTAGCAGTACAGTGGTGTGAGCTTCTCCTGCACCTAGAACTCGTTATAATGAGTAAGCTTAACAATTCCTGGAAACATTGGTACCTCGTATGGACACAATGAAATAAGTGCCAAGCTGAGCAGTGAGAAAAAGCACTACAGAAAAAGCAGAGATAGGTAGAGACCACAGATTACATCCAGCAACACACATTATGTAGTCCCAAATGTCCAAGAGTCATTTTTCTGAAGTATCTGTCTCTTCCTAAGAGGACTGACCATGGCCAATTCATACATTATGAAGAATAAAAAGAGTTTAAATCAGATTGCAAACTATTTCAGTAAACTTCTTTTCTGTATAAAGTCTGTAAAAGAGAAAAAAAAAATACTAAGTTTAAAAAACAACCTTTTTCTGGCTTCAGCTTCCCAGGGGCAACATTCTTTAACTGGAGCTGTGCAGACCTTTCAGTTGAGGATGCTGGCATTGAGTTAATGAAGAAATCTGCTACTGCTAACAGAAACTCCATACTTGCACAAATATAGAGTTTATCAAGGATGGCAGTTACTTCAGTCCCATTTTTATCCTGCTTGCAGCTTAGATCTATCATGGAACTGTCATTTGTGTCATCTTTTTTGTCTATCATTCTGTAAAATAAGTTTAACAAGAAACATCACAATATATATATATAWAAATATATATATTTCATATATATATATATATAAAATCACATAAGCAATGAGCATTTTCTACAGAAATGAGAGGGTAGGGACTTATCTCTTCCAGAAGAGTATTTTCAAACTAAAATTTCTGAGCTACAATTCAGTAACTATGCAATACATTATCACACTTTTAGTGCAGAGAATTCTCTAGCTAAAGTTGTCTTGAACCATTTGACTGMAATACTCAAAGCTCCCACTTTATTTCCATCTCCCAGATTATCAGAACAAAAATCTGTTTAACTTCATTAAGATTACGTAATTCATGGATTTGTTGCACAGCATGACAAAGATTGAGAGTCTTTGTATTATTGCTATTACGTGAAGGCAAGTACAGAACAAAGAAAAACAGTCCTAATTCCAAATTACACGCATTTTTTTTTAAATTTCTGATATACTACAATTTACCTTGCAGTCACATTCTGAACCCCATCTCTGAGATCATCCAGGGTACATGCCTTCAACTTAACATTAACATCCATGGAGCCATCTGAAAACATCTTTCCTGAGGAAGCCATGAGATGCAGTCGAAGTTCACCAAGGCGCAATTTGTCACTATGCACCAAAAGCAGAGACTTCTACAGGACAATGAGAAATAGAAAAACTATCACATGTCAAAACAGTAAGCAAGTTCCTCAACACTAGCAGCAAGTTAGAAACAAACACATCTGAACTGAGGAACAGAGGGATTGAGTTAGTCTGCTGCTTTAATCAATCCTCCAAATAAATCATCCCAATTAAGATGAAGAGAACAGAACTAGCCGATGGGGTCACTGTGGAGTTATCCTCACAGCATTTTAGGCAGTTATGAAGGCACATAGTCCATCCTCACTTCCTACCAAGGAATGCCTCCACTCCCATCACATCTACAGTCTTGGCCAATTCCATTTACAACTAGGAAGGATATGGAAGTTACTTTGGAAGGATATGGAAGCAATTTTAAATTCAAATCAAGTATTGCTAAGTSATTTTCTTCCCACTGAAGATCACTTTGCAAAAATTTTCAAAAAACAAAAAGTACAAATCCTCATATAAAATGCATGACAAATTTCTGCATTGATTGTTCTATCAAAAAACCACACATTCACTACAGTTTCAGACGCAAGAGGCTTAAATTCCCTCTCCCTCTCAGAGTAAAAGCTTTGTGACAAACCTGATTGTTATTGCTATTGTAGAGAATTACTGAGAGTGACTCAAAATTAAAGTCAAATTTAAGTGTTGTAGAACATTCTGCAGAAGACTGAACTGTAGAAACATTTCTATGTCCCACAGCAAGAGATGAATCTGTGAGTGAAAAAAAAATATTTAAACATTTCTTTAGAACATCAGCTTTGTGGATTGTTTTTCCCTTTCTTTCTTCATTTAAGATCACAAAATCTCTCAACACACACAAACAGGACATTTCTCATTGTCCTGTCATATTCATATACTGAATATCTCCTCCTGCTATTCAAGTAGCATTAAAATTTTCTAGCACAGATTGGTTTAAGAACTCTATAATCTTTGAAGTACTTGACAATTAACATAATTAATGCTACATAATATATAATACTAACATAATTTAATGCTAAAGTTTTGAACCATCAACAGCTCCCACTAACACATTTTTAGCACATGCATATCTATAATTTTCCATTGTACAATAAAGCAGTTATGAAAGTTATTTAGACACATYGACATGTTTTGAGTAGACAGGATACTTGAATTTACTCGTCATCTTATCCTTAAAGCTCTTCAGATATTGACTTAAACATACCCTCACACAAGTCAGAATCACTTGCAACTTTTCCTTTTTTAACTGTGTTCATTTGTTCAATGCTCTGATGTGCAGTATTTGGTGGTGAAGAAGCCCCTCCAATGTTTTCAAGTAAAATATTCATGATAACAGTTAGATCATCTTCACTGAGTGCAATCTGTAAAACAACAAGCCCACGGCTTCATTTTTATGATGTTATCCCAGTGTTCACTCTTCTTTCCCCTGTAGAACCTTAAACGCACTCGCTAAAAGCCCAGTACACACTTTCTTAACATTTTCTCAACATTCAGGTGAGAGACAGATACTCTTTCAGTACGTTTGCCTGTGCCAGGTTTGTTAAGTACCAGGTTTAACAGCAGTACTGACACTGCAGTGAAACAGGGCAGAYGAACAAATAAAAGTGTTCCCGATTCGATTCTCTCCATTTAAATCCCAATGGCTAGCACAGGAAAAGAAAGGCAAATCCTTCATGTACTGCAAAGATACCAACCTTAATCTGGAACCACTAGGCGCCAGCATATTAGAACAGAAAAGAGAACAAAAGGGATCCATGTCTACGCTTCAATTTGAAATAAATCTACACAATACTCAAAATACCCGAAATACTACAGAAAAAAAAAATCAATATTCTAACTAAATTTTATGCTAAATGAACAGGTCAACTCAAGACATTCAGAAAATGGCTCCACCAGAATCTAGTGTAAACTAAAACTTCTACTTTCATTTTATATAGAAGCTTGTAAGTTGCTTTTTTTCTACAAGTTTTATTCTACTTAGATGCAGCTACACTAAAACTACTCATTGCATGATAASACAACTCCAACAAAGCTACAATCTGATCTTGACAAGCCTTCCAGCTCCTGAACTAGACTGGATTCTACTCCAAGAACAAATGCAACTTGTAGTTCAGCTCAAATGTGTCATATTACCTGCATTGGTTTTAGGTCTCCTTTGATACCAATTGCTGGGGTTTTATGATACCAAGCTGCTGATAGATTTCTCTGCACCAGTAAAGCCAAATTCACAGGATGCAGAATTTGAGCATCTGGTTGACAATCTGCAGATACAGTGCACCTACAAAAAGCAAGAGCAGCAGAAGCAGAAAGAGATTTAGCTGTTGGATAAAAAAACCCTTTTAGCAATGTAGCAGAATTCTTGGCGCATCTACCAAGTGGGTCGTGTGTGTGTACATGCACTTACGTCCAGGTATTCACTCAACATGTAACTCTCTCCCTTCCTAGAAAGTTCCCAACAAGTTTTAGAGACTTAACATGTCTTTGTCTCAATGCAATTCTACGCTTTTACTGTTCTCAGCTCTCATCTTGTAACTCGAATGCTTCAATAATACAATTTTATTATATAATGAAGCATGGCTTTTTTAAAGAATATCTCTCTACATGCAAGAAAACTCCATGTATACCTTGATAACTTCAAATCAGTCAGCTGTACATCCATGYTGTCAATGACTGGAGGAAGAGAAGATTCATCTGAAAACACTAATTTGAATTCATTCTGAACTGTGATTAAGCCAAGATCAGCTACCAAAGCATTACAAGAAGTCCAAGATTCAGGAACAACTATAACTGGAGCTTTCAAGTTGATATCCATTAAGAGACGGAAACTCTTTTTGGCAAAGTCTTTCATGCTGGAAGCAGCCATTTCTGCTGCCTGGACAGTGACRGCACTCAGGGCCTCTTGCGCAGTTTGGAAGTTGTTTAGGAAGTTCTATAAGAAAGTGATAAAAAGGTAAGAGTTCTGTAAAAGTCTATATGAAATAGACAAAAATGACATCTCACAAAAAGCAAGCACCAGAAAAAAGGTAAGATTAAGAAAAACAGTTTAATTGTAACAAATATAAAATCTAGAAATATAAGCCTTAGAATYCTACCATATAAAAGCTTCCAATGGCACTGGGGGGGAGATGGGAAAGGGGGTGACTGTCCTATACTACCACAACATAACTTAACTACTTAGTTTTTAAGATATTAAAGCTATTGCACGATTCACTGCTTGCTTTTGTCATCGTATTTATTTTTCATTTTACTACAATATTGTGCAACTTGGAAGAGACATTTCTTCAGCCACATTCTTCCACGTGCTTGTAGACCAGCTTACTACAAACAAGTGGTCCTTAACAGTATACGAACTTTTTTTTGTTTTTCAACCTTGTAATTTCAATAAGACAATTAAAATTAGTATCTTACCAAGAGAGACATAAAGAATTTATGTAGATAAACTATTCGGATGCAGCCAACTTTCAGAGACATTTTACCATCCACCTTTGACATATCTGCGTAGGCTTCCCCTGCGGTAGCATCTGGATAAAGTGACATTTGAAATCTAAACACTTCATCTCCCATTATGGAGACAGCCTAGAAGGTTTATATGCATATAATGAAAATACAATCTGCACCTCTGATGTAGATGAAATATTAACATTTGATGCATTACATAATACTTGATATTACAGAACACAACAAATAATTACAGAGCATTAATTACATAATGATCGAAACTTTTTTTTTTTTTTAAATAAACTACACAGCTCATCACCTTTCTGTGGATTGTCTTTGGATCAACATTTGTTACTACAATGTCTTCAAGTCTGGAGAACACTTCTATCATTTTGGCCTTCATTGCTACAGATGCATCCATTCCTGATTTTGGGTGAAAAGAGCAGAAAACAGACAATTCATCAACTTTTTGCATTGAGGAAATAATTATTTGAAACTGAACACAAAGAACAAGAATTGATTGGAAATAATAGTYCTGCAGTTTAACAACTAATACTACGCCCATGAAATAAACTCTGATTTTACTGCATGTAAATGAGCTGCTAACATAAATTGTCCTGTAGGACTATGGTGCCAAATTTCTGACACTATTTTCCACTACTAAATTTCTGATACTATTTAGAATTCAACTAATCAAAAATACCGGCTTATGTTACTTACAAGACAAGTGCCTACCTTTTCAGTTTTTCCTGTTCAGAAATTAACTGCCCACCTCAAACTATTTTTGCCCTCACAAGTACTTCAGCTATTAAAATTAACCRTAACTCATATAAGATGAAAATTTATTCGAATATGTTACAGAGGCATATACACATTGTACATACTAGCTTTTCTAAAAGGAAATAGGAATAGTATATATTTCTCACTATTATGGACTAGTCAAAACATTAAATAATAAAAACTTACCTCGTATTCTAATGTCTGCAATTCTACAGGTCTGACCACAAACAGAGATTCTGAAAGCATTTAGCTTTGCAGTGAGTTTTAAATCATAGATATCGCGAGTTTCATTAGCRGACACTAAATAGGGAAAAAGTGACATACAAGCTGAACAAATATCATAACTTAAGCTTTTAAATTCAAGTTCATATCATTTACGTTTTGTACGAATAAAAACTATTAAAAACAATTGCAACTTTAAAAGTTAATGCTAATTACTAGACATGAAATGAAATATGCCTTAACACAGTCCTATCCTTATGGCACAAGAATAACCAATTGACATCAATAAATAGCAAAAATCACAGAATACTTTCTCTTCATAATGCCCAATCTACAATTTGAAGGAGAAAGTGCCTTGAATACGCTGTACATTTCATTATTTGAAATGTTAACTCATTTAGTAAGTGTTCTCCTTTTGCATTTAGTGAGACTAACTCAGGCAAATTCACAAAAGGAGAAAAAAAATAGCACAAAAATCCAAGGTGGTTGCAGAAAGTAAAATAAAAACAAGTCACTACAGAGTCATTTAGGATYAGCAAACCTTGAATTTCACAAACAACCAAGAAACACAGAAGTCGCACACAAACCTAACCAAACATCTTTAAGGAACTTCCATAGAAAAGGCTTGCAGTATTCAAGGCTACAGAGCTCAAGTCTTAAAATTAGTTACTTTAATTAGTGCAAGTCCTTCAGTCCCTTACAGTCCTTCAGACTAGAAGGCAATAAAGTTGTGACACTGATGCTTTGGAAAAGCTTTGGTAGTGTTTAATGTCTATCTACTACTTAGGAAAAAAGAATGCATTTAGTAGAGGAAATGGGTGAGATTAATCAACATAGACATCAACCAAAATACCTGACCTCTTCAAATATTAATACTAGATGAAGTATTTTTTAAAGAATTAGTTTACTACTCTCAAAATACAATTTTGCATGCATTTTATTTTGCTGAATAGGTGGCACTGCATTCACCTGAAGCAGTATCCTTCAAAAGCAAAGGCAGGATGCTGTTAATCTACTGGTGTGGGGCATTTCTAACATCACTTTACCTGGTCTGAGAGTACTCTCTTTCTGTTCTACTCGAGGCTTGGGATCTGATGCTTTGTCAGCAGCTGGAAGGCCACCTGATGGCACACTGAATGCAAGGAAATTCATGATGGAAAGCAAAGCCTCTGTGTGAAGCACTATATCCAAACATGAGAAGAAAACCTAAAACAAGAGTGAAGAGGTAAGGCAAGGTGGACTTAATATCTATTTCCAGTCTTACATGTAACTGAAGAAGCTTACAGTCTCTTTAAAACAAGGTATTCAGTTTATTTGAGAAGCTTAAAAAGATGATCAAGTAAGTTCCTGTACTTACCTTTATGGTTTGCTTGGTGCTTTTGTAAGTAGCATCAAAATCTGGTCCATCAGCATCAGCCTAATAAAGGAAAAAAAGCCCAAGCACATATTCAGTCTTTACTTTAGAAATTGTAATTTCTTTTTTATTTCACAAGAAAAACAAGGAAAGCAATAAACCCTGAGGTGAATGTTTTCTAAAGCATATGATGATGTTGAAAGAACAGGTGTTGGCCATGGTTTGTCAAGTGACACTCTATAACATATTTGGCCAGAAAAAAAAAAAAAAATCAAATGGACATGTATAAATTTCTTGTACTTGCAGTCCACTTTCAAGTGAACCAATTTGCCCCGAGTTATTTTTTCAGAAAAAAATTGCAAAGCTTTTAAGTCCTTCCAGAAAACAACAACACACAAAAAAAAAACACGCATAGCACATGGGTCCTGGGATCTACCAGATTCTCAAGGATTCATGCACTTCATGAAAGACAGTCATCTTTAAAATRTTTGTCTACCAATATAGCCTTCCTGAAATGCTTCTTTTACGACCGCCAAAGGGTCTCTTACCCATTTACAGACACAACAAAAACCTCCCTTTAATGCTGGCTAAGTACAGAAGCCTTATTTTAGTTCCCAGAAAATCTTGAAAGGTATCAAAACCTTAATGTATTCCATTTTTAGAAGATGTTCACCAGTCTCACTTGAAGAATTAATAACACAAAGTGGATCTCCTTTTGAGTCTGCAAATAAAGAAAGAATTTTCTGATACTTCTATTATAACAGTCAAAACTTGATTTCACGTTAATTCTCTACTGTATACTATCCTTGCTGAAACAGCAAAAGCAAGCAACTCTCACATAAAGCATTTTACGAGATAAATCTGCAGCTGCTACCTGCCTTTTTATTTAAACAAGTCAAAACATAAAACCCACAGCACTAGTCWTGAGAGAAAATTCAGGCTAAACTCATTTACATGCCTATTGTTAGCTTTACACAAGATTTGATAAAATATTTCCCTATTTTAATTTACAGCTACATATTAGTTACATACCAGTTACCAGTTTATGTACAAGTTGCCATAACTTCAGCATCACTTGGAAGTATTACCTGACCTATCAAGGAYATTTTTGCTAATTTTCCAGTGCTGCTGGAGCTATTTATAAAGCACATTTGCAGAACTCAAAATTACAGCAAATTAGTAACTGATGAAAAACAATCTAAAGAGATAAAATACTGCCCACGGTACTCAAAGTTGGCAACTAACTCAAATAAATTAGCACGAGCTAATCCGGCAAATGGAAGTAAATCTGGTCTCAGGTAAGGCAGTTTTACTGAATCGAGAACAAAGGCAACAACGCTAAATTAACGTTGGCATAATTTATCTCCCCGTCCTCCTTATTGATTTATTTGATTTTTAAGTTACTTGACTCTGCTACCCTCTTGCTCTACAAGTTGATTGCTCTCACTCCACTGAGTTACACAGAATACTTGCCAGTTATTTCAAGGCACTTCATGGTAACTTTTTTCAGATATGCTGCTGCAGTCAAATCATGATTTCTAATTCTGGTTTCAGTTCCAAGCTGCAGCACAGTTAAAATATGTAGTGGATATCTCTCCTTCTGCACCTGCTTCATCAAAGTTATTACAACCTTGMACAAAGAAACAAAAAGAAATTCACCAAAGTTTACTAAACACTTTACTAAAGTTCATTAACTTTACTAAAGCTGTCCAGAAATTACAGCATGCAGTTATAATTAGGAATTAACTTCTCAACTATACTCCAAAAGCAGTATTACTTTCTCTCAGATTGCTAGGGATAGGCAGAAGTTTCTAGTCTTTGAGTGGAATGCTCATACAGCAGAGCATCCTTTTGGGTTTGGAAGTGGGGTTTCTGCTTTGAAGAAAAAAAACCCAGATACACTACTGCACAAACACATCTACGGAGATTTAGTGAAACCAAAATTATGCTACAGAAAAATCAGTTACATAAAATAAACTACATGTTAGAAAGAGGGAGAGATAAAATAAAGGCCATGCTGAGTTCTTCACATTTAAATACCTCAGACAGACATCCTCAAAGAAAGAGGATATCTGGATAATTTCTTGTGCACAAATATCTTAGTTATTTGCTGCCTTGTGCATTTTTCCCAATATTTTGCTAAAACTAAAGATAAGGTTCTAGGTACCCCTAAACATAAAAACAAACAAAAAAATAGCTTTTACTTAATTTTACCTGAATTGTTACCAAGAAGAATGTCTATATGTTGTTACAAAGAATTAATTAAAGAATTAGGTTAATAAAGGACAGCTAAGAAAAATATGTTTTCCCTTATTCGATTAATATCTCCATCTTTAAACAAATCCCTCAACAAATGGCTAAAATGGCATTCATAGTCCTTCTTTTCTGATATACAGGCTTGAGTGCTAGATTCCATGATCATAATTATTCCCAGTGGATAAATACCTCTTTGATTTCAAAATTAAGCAGCATATTGATCACATCGTCATTTAACGTCCCTTTTCTCTCTTCAGACACTTCTTCTGGAACACTCTTATCCTGACTCAAAACAGATTTCTCTATTTCTTTGGTTTCACCTGCAGCATTCAAGAAATAGGTTAGCTTCAGGATAATAATGCTACAGCTTTACTAGCACAAGAAACACCTACAAGTCTTTTACTCATTTAGCTGGCTTAAAGTGGCCTGATAAGGCAAAAGTTTCTACAAACAGGGCTTTGACATCAAGAGCAGCCAGAGGAAGCAGAACTATGTTCTGGCAACCAACAGATACAGCCATCTGTGAAAAGTGTGCATCATACTATCAAATTTAAGCTTTGATTTTTCAGATAATAAAAAGCCTTTCAATATTCCTGAGAGCTAATACACTTATTCAAGGCAAACAAATTCCATCTCTTACCTTCCTTTTGCAGGACTGTTTTCACGTGGATCTGCTTATCTTCTGCTTCACCAAGATTTTCTGTCAGCACTTTGAGAAAGACATTCAAATCCTCTTGATTTACAACAATCTACAAAATAGTAAATAGCAGTTCTCAGAAAAAGTTGTTTAGTTACGCTGTTAACTTGCTAATATAGCAGAGCAATGATTTCTAGCAAGAAAAAGTGTTTATTCACAGTGCTTTGGCAGCAGCAGCAGTACATAAAGAATACAGCATGAACTGCAAAATGCTTTTCGCCATTTGAAACTTACAACTTCTGAAACCAGGAAAATACCAGCTTATACAGCAGCTTTTTGTTGAAGTTAACTCCATTTCCTAACTTCACTATGAATGACGTGGTCAATTATGGCATTTTAATTCCAGTTTTACAGAGATGTACCTGCTGTTTTGTTTCAAAATATATAAACTGTCATAAAAGGCAATCACCTTGAGCTCACTGAAGGGAAATACAAAGTTACGCAGCCGATGTTACCAGACCAAACACATGTACAGAACTAAGGTACTCTGAAGAGGAGACTCATCAGAAAATGACTTGCTTAGAGAGAAGCTGTGGAATTAACAATCGTAACATTCATGCAAGCTGGTCCTGCTTTATGCCAGGACATAAGCAGCCCTTCTTGACATCCCTCACAGTTGCCCCCTATATGTATCTCATAGTTTAATAAATACACACAGGTTTTGAGGTGTTTTTATAACACCTCCTAACTTCTACATTTATATACAGATAAACCTGCTGACCTGACTGCAACATACTCAATAGCCATTAATGGGCCAGCAGCTTGTTTCTCCTCTGTGTCAGAAATAAACAGGCTTAGTATTACATTCAGTATTACAAGAAGTTTCTTATCACTTTTTTTTTTTTTTTTTTTTTTTTTTTTTTTTTTTTTTTTTTTTTTTTTTTTTTTTTTTTTTTTTTTTGGCAAGACTTACATTCATTTTATCCAGATGCCCTGTGATCTCCACCACAGGTATTTTGTGAAACCAAGCTGCAGCTAGGTTGCGATTAACAGTCAGGCTCAAATTAATAGGATGAAGTATTTGAAGATCAGGATGTAACAGATCTGATTCCATATTGGTCCTGAAAAAAAAGTTGAGGAAACAATTAAAAAAAAAATTATCATTTTATGTGGAGTTATGTTTATATGTTCTTAGGATAATGGGTTAGTATTTTAACATTAAGTCTTTGACTCTGTCACCAATACAATTAGATTAACATCTTACAGAATATTAATACTACTAACTTGTTAAGGCATTACATTCACTTTACCTGGACAGTTTCAGCTGTGTCAGCTGCACGTCCATTCTATCAATGACTGGAGGGAGTGAACTGCCTTCTGCAGATACCAAGCTAAACTGGTTCTGAACCTTGATCAGGCCAAGATCTATTACTATGGCACTAAGAGAAACRGAGGATTGAGGAATGACAATAACTGGTGCTTTCAAGTGAATGTCCATTGACAGCCGAAAGCTCCTCTGAGCCAGGTCTTTTACACTTGTAGCAGCCTTTTCTGCAGCCTGGACTGTGGCAGCACCCAGTGCCTCTTTAGCTGTTTGAAAGTTGTTCAAAAAGGTCTGTAACAAGAGATTGAAGAGAAAGGAAATATGTAGCTCTAAACAACTTGAAACAACTGCTTTCTCATTTTATAACCACCAAAATCTCTATCAAACTGGGCTTCCTGCTGTATTAATTTTTCCTGATACAAAAACCAGTGTCACTCGTCATAATCTCTGTTAGTTCAAATCAAAAGTATTAACAAGATTCCATCTTTTTTAAACCCTGTGCTTTATAAGAAAAGCCAACATTAGGATACCTGACAAAGGTAGAGACATTCACAGTTTGCCTGAGTTGTTCTGCCCTCAGATCACCTAACCTCATAGAAAGATCTACTGCCAAAGTTGGCTCAGATTTCCTCCTGCCTCATTTTCACTGCCCAAAGACTACAAAAAAATGCCTAACAAGCAGAAGCGGGAGCAAAACCACACAATCTTGCACAGTGCTTGTTTTTAAAACTTCAGTCAGTTGGAAAGCTCACTTTATCCCATTTTCCAAATAGTAATGAGAACATTAAGTTCACTTATTTTTTGCAACTTCAGTTATCACTTGTACTGAAGGAAGCAGCATAAAATACACAACGCAGAAAAAATCTCTTACCAGAAGAGACATGAGGAATTTGTGAAGGTACACTATTTGGATACAGCCTACTTTCAAAGATACAGTACCATCCACTTTTGACATATCAGCATAGGCTTCCCCCTCTGTAGCATATGGATATAACGCCAGATTGAAACTGAAAACTTCATCTCCTACTATAGATACAGCCTAGAAAAAAAAGAAAAAGATTATCAAACTATTGCATGACAACAGTTTTGCTATCAGCAGTTTCTAAACGTTCTTAACATAAATCAAATAAGCCCTAGATATATTAGTATATCAGATGCAAAAACTAGACATTCCATCTTCTAACATAAAAACATTCTTCAGCATGTACCTTACTTGCAAAGATTTGAATTTTAAAATGGAGCAAAAATAACCTCTTCAGTGATCACCTCTGATGCAAATCATCACCAAAGTAATTCATCACTTGAAAATTCAAGGGAGATGAAGTATCTTCCTCCTCCCTACATTTAGCACAAGCCCAAAAKAGAGTCTTTATTATGGAAAAAAACTGTCTTTTCAGTATTGAAATTCAGAGAGCTCCATGAAAAGGCATATTGAGAAGAAGGAACTTAGAGCCTAGTGGTTGTAAAATTTACACTTCATGTCAYGTAAGAGAAATACCTTTTTATGAAGGGTCTTTAAATCAACATCTATAACAATTATATCTTTGAGCCGAGCAAAAAGTAAAGTGCGACTTGGCTGAAGTAGAAGAGATGAGTCAAGACCTGCACAGTAAAAGGAGAGAAATGGTTAGTACTACACAATGGAAATAGCACATAATTTTGTGCGAGCATATTATATGACTTGTATATTAGAAGTTTACATAAACTGCATTAAACACAAAACTAAACAAACCTTAGGAATTCCAAAATCAAAAGGAAACAGCTCTAAAATATCTTTAGAAAACTTATATACGCAGAAAAATCTGAAGCTTAGTACAACAGATCAAGTCACCAAAAATGATATTTATCTCCTTCAAAACGTGAATCCATTCAAATAACAACAGAATAAAATATTACGTTTATCTAGTTAATGGCCGATACATACTGCTAGGAAAGACAGACTTGGGAGGGGAGGCGGGGGACAAAAAGCAAAAGCAAACAAGCCATTTTTGTCCAGAAATATATATATTACATAAAAAAATATATATATAAAATACACRTTCAGAAGCTGAAGAATTTCACCTTAAAAACTTTAAGTTCAATTACTAGTACTCGCTGTGAAACTTAATTGTGAGGTCAGTTACAACTAACAAAGCATTTAATACCTTGTATCTTGATCTCCGCAATGTTCTTTTTCTCATCACAAATATTTAAACAAAAGGCATCCAGTTTGGCAAAAAGCTTGAAGTCAAAGATATCCTTATCCTTAGAAATTCTAGCTACTAGAGAGAAAAGAAAAAAAAAAAAAAAAAGGAAAACTTAGGACTGAGTCCTCTAGGTGGGCAGAAATTTCATTTATCCAAATCCAACTCTGAAAGGGCCATATAACAAGAATAGAAAGCTCACTTAGAAGGAAAAACTTGATTTCACGTATTATTTCTTGAAATCAATGCTCCAGCCTGTGAGAAGTACCTTGTCACATTAGTTTTGATTCTCAATCCACCCTTCAAAGTTAATAAAATTAGTACCGAGTTTTCCATAATATATGTACTTTACCTTTCTTAAATCTAGCATAATCTTTTTGCTTTTCTTCATTAGTTGATGTGTCTTTTCTACTTCCATTGCTTAACGGAGTAACTGCTGTCAGAAAACTTAGAGTAGACAGCAGGGCCTCTGTATGCAGCAGCAGGTTTAATGATGAAAAGGTGACCTATTGAAAACATGAGACTCCATGTCACAAGGAAGTAACTTGAACAACAGGTAGAGTGAGAAGAAAAGGTATTAAGCATAAGTATCTCTGAGAAAGGAAAACAAAATCATGTTGTACTAGCAATAAATTTTCAAAAGCTTTCTGTAAAACAGAAGAACCCTAAGCTTAAAAAGAAGCAAAGATGACAAAGGTATAATAGCCGTAACTATTAAACTATAATCTCCTGAGCACAAAAGCAAAATTACACAAAATGAAATTAAAACCATGAAAACAGAGGAAATTGCTTATCTCTTGGATGACAATTTAGAAGAAATACACCTACAGAAGTCTCATCTAAACCAGAATTCAACCTTCTCCAACAGTGTGCTCTGACAAACCCTGAGGCATTCTTGGATGCTCCTGCAGCAATACAATATCCTTTTATAGGCATAAAAAATTAAGAGACAAGTTGCTGCTGTGCAAATGTTCAGGACAGAGACATTTCTCAACAAATTCACTAAAAAAAGTCTGGTAGGCAGATAAAGCCTGCCTTGCACATTAACAAAGGCTATTTTCTAACTGAATAAGCTTAAAGTGGGAAGACTTCAAATCCAATTTTTCCAGATGCCAAAGCCTYAGTAAAGACTTGTTGGGATACAGCTCATGAGGTGGGGAAAATTAAGTTCTGTACAGAGTTCTCCAATAAGGTTAACCCGGGAAACTCAACATATATATTCATCTCAGTGGCACCTGAGTTTTGTTCTTGAAGAACCTAATTGACACCCCAAAACTACAAGGTGGCCCCTGCTGACAGCATTGTCAGCACTACCATACCAAAAAAGCATCAGACAAATTATCTTTGCCAGGAAAGGAAAAGACTTCTAGGCCCACTACACTTGCCATAGTGGGCATGTGAGTTATATGATCACACAGATRAGGGTGACCAGCCACTCTTTTTTCATTTGAATTTCATCTACATGAGCTAACAAATTCAACAGAAAATCAGAAAAGCTAAAGACACTTACTTGAATCATCTGTTCAGTGTTGTTGAATGCTGTCTGAAAGCTTGGACCATTTCTGTCAGCCTGAAAACAATAACAACTCAAGGTTACTAGTAAATCAAACCCGGCACTGCACTCTCCAGAGGACAAAATGGGTCTACTCTGAAGAGTAGATTTAAGACTTCACTGCACAAGAAGGCTTTAAAAATAAAACAAAACTCATATATACCTTGATATATTCCACCTTCAGAAGGTCTAAGCCAGGTTTATCTGAAGAGCTAATTAGATGAAGGGGTGACTTTCTACCTGCAACATACCACACAATTGCATAAGCATTAGGCTATCAAGCAAAAAAGAATTTGTGCCTCTGAAGGAGGAGGTAGCTTGCTACACATTGTTTTAAAGTATGCTGCACCACTGAAACTCACTAAATGGTTTCTCTGAGTTTTCAGTGCAACACGGMAAGACTGTTCCCATTTTGTATCCAAAGATTAAGCACTAGGCTACTTAAGTATCTAACGTCTATCAAGGAGGGCAAAACTTATCATTTGTAGCCCCTGGACAACTGTTGCCAATGGAAAGTTGCACAGTAAATATTGTATCTTTAAAACTACAACAGTATTTAAGTGGAAAAGCAGACAGGAAAGACACACTTTCAGACTAATAGATACAAACAATGGTATTATACTTTAATAATTCATTACCTTCAATATCATAGTAATCCAAACTAATTTTCTTCAAGTAAGATACAGCTGTTAAATTGTAAGTTCTGACTGTAGCCTCTGTCCCAAGATGCATTACATCAAACACAAGGACAGTTTCCTCAGTTTTCTTTTGCCTGGTAAGTTCTATCAAAACCTACACATCCAAGAAAAACACAGTTATTGTATTACAGTTATCTATTGTATTATACACATATTTGTTATTTATAATATACAGTTATATAGAATTTTTTTTCTGTATGTAACTATAGATAAATAGAGAGATGTATTATAACACTTTTATTATATTATAGTTATCTGGTATGCTCATCCCTCAAAGCATGACTAGAAAGGGGGGGAAAAAAATCACTTAAACTATGCTAACATTAATGTTAATTTATTGATTTTAAATTAAGTTAAAGGAATTTTTTTTTTTTAAATGTAGTGAATATCTGGATGCAAAAAAGGAGAGAATTTAACATCATAGAAATCTTTTGGGGTTTGCTGCTTTTAAGTAACTCATYTGACATTTATTTTGTTCCTCTATTGCAATACTTGTTTCAAATCATGATTTAGGGTCTTTGTGATGGAAAATGATGGTACTAAATGTTTTTTTGTTTGTTTGAACTATTCTGTATGTTAAAAGCAAAAGCAGAATTAGAGGGAGATGTACCTCTTTAATTTCAAACTTCAGTTGAATATCYGTCAGCTCCTCTTGAGCTGGTTCTTCACTTCTTATTTCTTCCCCTTTAATTAGAGGCCTGCTAGTAGATTCAGAATGTTCTTCAACATCAAAATATTCCTCTTCAGAGTCTGCAGAACAGGTGTGACCTCCTTCTTATTAAAGGAATCTTCCAGAATCAGGCACACATCTCCTACCCTCTTTCTCATGCCAGTGTAACTTTAATGCAACTGACCAATTTAAACATAATCTTCCAAGTGTATTCTTTTTTTTAGATTTACACTGCTTTCTTATCCACTGAATGAAAAGGTACAAATTAAGTGGAGAAAAGGAAAATTGAAGCCCCTACAAAGGAAACCACTAGGGTACAGCTGCATCATTAGAGGTTAAAGAATCCATGTAAGAAAGAAAAACTATAGACATTTATAATATCAATACATAAATTTGCTTGCCACCCCAGTTCTGTACTTTTATGTAAAAGAAACCTTTGCTAGTGCAAAACATTCAAGGACAGTACTACCAGTGACGTGCAAGACAGACTCTCTCTACCGTATGCTGCCTATTTATGCAAGGCCACCTCCTTTAGACACACTGTGTGTTCCACACTGTGGAGCCTTACATACACCCCCCCCCCCCGCCTTTTTGCCATGCAGCAAGCACAATACAGGCTACCCAAGTATGTCCTACACAAAACCCTGAAGGGCAGTGGCAGATCACTTTTGGTTAAGCAGGCTTTAAGTCAGTTCCAGAACAATAGATTCCTTAATACTCTGCTCCAAGAGGCATTTTGTGACATCTCTGTAGCTAAATAAGTATGCTAATAACTTCTTAATACAGTTATTAACAGCTCACTCTACTTACCTTTATGAGGTTGCAAATGCAGAAGCTTCATAAGGTGAAGTATTCGCCCCAAAATTACGTGATATTTAAGAAAAAGTAATAATTTCAGGTGATGTCAGCACCTTATTCTAGTCTTCTTGTTCAATGGAAGTTAGAGATAAGCATACTAGCCTCTACTGCCTCCAATACATGTTTTAAGGTCAACATTAGCCAGAAATTTTTAATTCATATATTTTGACTTTCTACTTTTACAAACACTTATTTGCAGTGTCTTACCTGACTCTATTTCTGCAAGGAGCTGTGGTGTATTAAGTAAGCCTTTGCTAACAGGGATTGCGGGAATGGCTGACACCTACAAAGGAGAGAGACAAAAAATAAAAAAAACTTTTACATAACCTAGAATGTTCGGTCAATTCCCACCTGAAGCTGTAAGCTTGTTTTTTCACACATTTCCTAGAAAGGCCAGTTTTGCCAATAAACATACTGAAGTCAGCATGACAAATGCCCAGATAGCCTGGTTTAAGTCTGGCCTGGTAAATCATAATGGACACACTTTGCCAGTCCAGCTGAAAACTTGAGAGCTCCTACTTCCAAAGACGACGACAGTCATTAGCAAGAACACATTAATTTTATAACAACCATTTTAATAAKGTTCATTTTTTTACTTTTCTCCCACCTCCATCCCCCTTATAGTCCTATACATAGTCTGCATACCTTTGTGCTTGGAATTGATATAGACGACTTCTCTGGCAAAGGAATACTATCAATCAGATCGAGAATCGCACTGATTTTCTGGTCAGAAAGTCTGACRTGCACCAAAGGAAGCCCACCTGACACTTTGAACCTTAAAACAACACACACACACACACACACGAAAGGGGTAAGGAGGAGAAAATTATTACTGAAATAAAGCTTAGCATKTGGAACTTCTGAGTATTAGCATAATCCGAAAATTTGATTAATCCCAAGTACGTAACAATTCTCAGTTTAAAATCTTMTTTATATCTAGATACATATATAAAGATCACATCACAGGAAAGCCAGCAACTTGGTATTAAAACAGATGCTGGACTCCAACAGTCTATTTGGCAACCAATTGAGATAACAAGAGAATGATTAAAGAATAACAAAAAAAAAAATCTACAAAGCAGTGGGCTTCGTTCATTTCCTTCTTACTGAAGAACTTAAAATTAATACCTTCAAATTCAAAGGCCTAACTGAAGGTTCAGGAAAAACATAACTGTTTTTTTCATTAAGTACCAAGTAATAAAATAATAATAAAAAAGCATATAAGATACATTACTTGGCCATCCTGGTGTCATTATCAACCATTGATTTTGCCAACTGCACATGAATGTCCATAGGCTGCAATACATGCAAAGTTGATGGATGTTGGAATCGAGCTTTCTTCCAGTCTTCACCTGTAAATGTTGAGACAATTTAGATGAGAAAACAGTATTGCTTMTTAACTGTTTTAAGTAAGTTAACACATAAAGTAATTAAGTTAACATGTAAAGATAACCAAGTAGCATCACTAGCAAAGGTTAAAGAACCCTGAAACCCTACACCATTTAGGTGGAGTATTTTAGAAGCCTTTAGAAACAACAGCCTTCAGTATAAAAAAATGGAATAAAAATCTATGTATTTATGTTGCTTGCAGGTATCCACTTAAAAAAAAAGTGAAAAACAACAAGCAGTCATTTTCAAAGAACTAGTATGAGAAATAGTGTAGTAACATATGTAATCTAAAATCATTTAGTTGTGCTAATTTTAATATTTTAGTCAGTGCTAGTTTTGATTTGCACTTTTCTTTAAATAACATACTTATTACATAATCACTATTTTGAATAAACAGTGGTTTATTCAATGTGGTTATTACCTGCTCTGACAAAAAGAAGTTGAACATTTTTTATTTCCACATCAAACTTGTCATAAGCTTTGTCCATCATCTCCTCCAAAGACGGAAAGCTAGACGCTTGACTACTGCCTTGATTTACACTGTTCAGCTAAACACATAAGTGACAAGAAAAGGTAAGTCTACTAGTTACATAAACATGCTATTAATTCCAGTGAAGATAAAAAGATAATTAAGATTAAAGATAATTTTTTTCAGAGATCTAGATTTATTTCAGACTTTGTTCAATAAGGATAAACACAATATGTTTTCATAAATTTTATCGAACCATTTTGAGTTTTCCAAAAAAAGCTGAGCATTTGTTAACAWATGTTTCCTCAGGAAAGTACAACAAAAACACCCCTAAGACTTCTGGACACCAATGGAATTGCTGATGACCTGAAGGACTTGGCAACAAGTATTTTAAAATAAAACCACAAATAAATGATCACGTTCACCCTTCAAAAGAAAGATAGCTCCAGATGACAGCTGTGTCAAGAGTGATTTATTCTTTGGAAGAGAAAGAGTGAAGCCACTTACATACCTGAAATGTACCAAAGTCCAAAATCAGCAAGTCTGATTTCTCATAGTAGAAACCAGTCTTTGGAACCACAAGGTAGGAAGGTTTCAGATTGATCTTCAACTCAAGGACTTTCCGCATTTCAATCATGTGTGCTAATCCTTAAACAAAAGAGATGTTAAAAATGACCTTTCATTCACAGGTAAAAATTTCTTCCATATATAAAAAAGTGCTCTTTACTAAAAAAAAAAAAAAAAAAAAAAAAAAAAAAAAAAAAAAAAAAANTATATATGTATATCTCAACCCATTATTGAATTCTCATTAAACTGATGGTTCCTCCTCACAAAATCCCCAGATCAAACAACACAGAAAATAAAACATGAATAGGATCCTCTAAGACTACATTCCTTTCAGACTTCCATCTTAAGCAGAGTTCTGAAAACCCCAGAGAATTATTTTTTTAATATTCAAGATTTGACCTAAGAGATATGAGATTTRTGTTATCATCCTACCTGTAGCAGTTCTTTCCTTAATTTCTTCCAACTTCATTAATGTGGCTGTTGTTAGTTTTTCAAGATCCATTCCCTTACTTGTCTGGAAGAATTCTATCATTGCATTTATTGTTCTCTTACATGAAAGAAAGAGACAGAGAATTATCAATACATACAAAATTCACTCAGTAAAAAATCCCAAGTATKACATACAAATTGGGAGAACAAGAATAGGAGGGGGGAAAAAAAAGTAATGGACAATCAGGCAAAAAGTTTCTACTCACTGCATCGTATTTTATTTCCACAGGCTGCGATTCAATAGTAAGACTCTGGTCAGCAGCACAATCTTCTGGGTTAATATTAAACTCTATTTTAAGTAGAGAAGACCTCTTATCCCCTATGGAAGCCACAAGGGAAGGTACAATGTTTTCTTGTCTCAAACCCGTAATATACCAGTTTTCAAGCTTTGCTTCCACCCTAGAGTAGACAAATAATTAAATATTATTTCATTGTAGTACAGAATCCAGCTCTATGCAGAAAAGGCATACAAGATGAGAAAGCCTTTCATAAAGGAAAATACAGAACCAACTTCGCTACCCAGGACTAGTGTACCACACACTTAAGAAAAAGTTACATTAATAAATACAGAAAATCAATTAAACAGACTAGTTGTTCACAGTAATATTGATATTCTCTTTTTATAGCCAGTTAGCTCAGAAACAGACAAGTCAATATGCAGTATAATGCGCTGTCCAAGAAGAAAAAAAACAAAAAACAAAAAACAAACAAAAAAAAACAAAGTCAGAAAAGAAGTGATACCAAGCTAATAAATTACTTTATGGCTTGTGCTCCTGGACGCTGCGATATTTTGGTACTCAGATCAATTATCTGTACTTTAAGGGTTTCTGGCACGTTCTTGTCTTCTTTAATTGTAAGAGAAGTACTTAACAGCTTCAGTGTCACAACATGGGCAACATACTAACACAGAGGAAAGAGAAGATGGAGATTGGTTATCTTGATGTGAATAATTTCACAGAACTTCTAATTTAAACTAATCATTGAAACATAGTACTTGCAGSTACTTCAGTAGCCAAAATATACAACCCTATGCAGGAAGCTAAGCATGAAGTCTTTACTTTCATTCAAACCCTATCCATCATTTTGTTAACATAAAACAGTATTTCAAACTATGCAGAATGTATTTAACCTCTATCTCTTGTGAGGAGATACAGCTGGTCTTTAAGCTGTATGAGGAAGTGTGGGTAAACTACACTCAGAGCTGGCAAGATCAAAGAAAATCATCACAAACCCACCAAAAAATGGTATTTTAAAATGTACTGTGCAGGTGCCCTTSTTGTTCTTGCTCCTAAACTGTCAGGCACTGCCCTTGTAAAGAAGAGGTTTTGCCTTTCTGAGAAAAGTACCATTTGGTGGCCTTGTTAACCAGAAACTTAAGAATCAAACAATACTTCCTATCTGAGCTCACAGACTGCACATTTCTTCCTCGTACCGAGAGATATGAAACCACCTTTAAAATTAATAGTTTGCCCAAATTAGGAATGGAAATTCTTCCACACAAGAAACAAGAAATGGGTGAAATAAATAAAAATCAGCAGTACTRGACATTGTTTGGAGCATGTCTCCTCTATGCTGCTAAGAGATGCTTGCTACTGCTCTCAAACTCTCAACTACAAAGAGAATGGGATATTGCCACTCCAGTAATTCTGAGCTTTCTTGTTTGATTCACATGCAGGATTAGGATTAAATTTAATAAAAATATACAAGGTTGAAGCAGGGTTTTTTTGTGGGTTGGGAGTAGGTTTCATGAGAGAAACAAAAATAAGAATGGGGAAGAAAGAAACAGTGAAAAAACAATATTCTACTTAAAATAAACATTCCTAATGTAATAAAATAAATGCTTCTGTAGATGATGAGCAACTCTAAACCAAACCAGCAACGCCTCCAGTCCTRCCAAGATTTAAGTGATGATAAGAGCACACACAGAAAATGAGTATATTGAGAGTAACTTTTAACATTTGGCATTTTCTTAGTTTTCTCCTTCCAAGCTTTCTTTCATGACGATCATTTTGTTTGTGAGCCTCTGTGTATATTCAATATAGACTGGACTTTCACTGATTCATATCCSATGAGTGATTGCTTTTGGTAAGGCTAACGAAGATCAGAAGTTGTTACTTATTCTTTTACACCAACCCCACTGAAGTTGCCTACCTCTTTTGGTAAGGAAAGGTGATGAGAGCTGTCGCTATATCCAATAGCGGTAAAAAGCTTAGCTTTCTCTTCAGGCGTCATTATTTCATCAATAGCTTAAAGATAAACAAACCCATACATTTACACTTTGATTTACACTGAAACAGTCTTTTTACATGGTGTTAAGTATGTTGCACAGATATCATTTATTGCAWGAGGACCCGTAACTCCCAATAACCAAAATGGCTTTGAGGAATACTATTAAAACTACTGGAACTTCTGGTTGAGACAGCAGGCCATCAGAAGAACACAGTATTTTGACTTTGAAATGTTTAGGRTCATTTCTGACCCTGAACCCCCATTCATTTTTATCTTATTTGCCAACATAATATTCATCAACGTCAGGTAAAAACATACGATGAATCAAGACAGCACGGTAGATTCTCTGCCTTACTCTATTCTACCATGGAACAGGGAGCACAACACCTACTAACTTCCTTCTTACTACATTTAACAATCTTAAAATATATATATAAATAGTGTATTTCTGCTTCAACCTACTTTCAGGAACCGATGATTCTTCATCCTCCTTTTTTCTAGATTCCTTCTTACCCCAGAAACCACTAAACCAGCCTCCACTTTTTTTTTCTGCTTCAGTGGTTTTTTTCTTCAGTAATTTTTGTCCYGATCTTACCATCTTAAAAAGAAAAATAAACACAGACATTAAAACACAGAACATTATTTCTACATAAGTAATATAYGCAGTATACTGACTAAACAGACATTTAACTGAGACACAAGAATATCATATCTRCACAAGATTAAGAATGCTTTCATTTACACACCAGATAGCAGCAAGTTACAAGTCTGAASACTGATCCTGTAACATAGTACTTGGAACTTTTTCACCATGCCATACTTTCTGTTTTTAAATTGGAAGTCTGACCAGAAACATCTCAAAAGCAAGCATCATTTTTCCTATTTCATCTTCATTTAATGCACATCCCAGAGGTATTGACAAATACTGATGTTACACTGTCATAGAGGCTCATTTTAAAGCTAGCCATGTTCTCACAAGTTCTCAGCAGTGCTTTCTCAGAAGATTAGTCTGAGCTTCTACACCATGTGCTAGGTGTTTTTGAATCTCAGTTGCAGATATTACCACAAAGGTTCTCAAAATATTATCATGACAGAATAATCCTGTCTGAAGTGTTACAGTATTACAGAACAGAACTTATTTCTTACCTCAACTTGTGCTTGTTGTCTTGCTAAAATTATGTTGAAGACATCAAGTTTTCTTTCCAGGTCCTATAAAGCATATTAGGAAATCATTTACTTTTAAAGCTCAAATAAATATAAATGAAAGAGTTCACCACTACCACTCCTCTACTAGCCTTTTCAGATTCACTCTCTAATTTCTTTCTTAACATTCTCTTCTCTTTCAAAGGCATAACAGAAGTTAAAAGATTAACCTGCAAAGAAGAAAGAAGATGAAACCTGATGTGCAAATCTTGTTTTTAAATACATCAATTCTGTACTTCAGTAAATGCAGAGTTCACTAATACATAAACAAAAAATGTCAATGTAAATAGCACTTCACTGCTATTTTTTTTCTTTCCACAAAAGGTTGTTTTGCACTCCAGTTTTGAGATTAGAACTACATTTCCACAGASCTCTTCCACAAGTAAAATCACCAGCCATGATTACTGTCATATACAAATACTTGATTTAATAAAGCCCCTAAAACATGCATGCTTATCAGCATCTTTTGAATGTTAGCATGTGGAATATTATGTTCAAAGGAATTTAATGTACTCTAGCTTTATCTTTGAAAGGCTTTTCTTTGAAAGAACTTATCATCACTGAGGTTGGCTCAAGCTTTACACAGAAACTCAACACGAGAGCCTCTATATTTCTTTCTGATACTTACAGCCCTAAAAAAAAAAAAAAAAACCACATATTACAGACTCAATACTCCACCGCATTCCGTGTAAATATTTGTATAGCTACCCATTATCCCCGTTTCTTTCAAAATATACTAAAATATTGGGAGTAAGTCAATGCTCAGGAAGAGAGAGATTTCTTGAAGTCTTAAACAGTCGCACTTATTGCTTAAAGAGCTAGCTAGAAAATAAAGAAAAGGAAACATAAAGGAAAAAAAAAGGAAAATTTCAGTAGTAAAATGAACTAGGTCTATTGAACCAAGAAACATACTGCCACAGCAACACTATGTACCTGAATTTGCCTCTGTGTTTCTTCGGACAGTTTACTCTGGGTCAGCTTGTTCTTGTACACATTTTTATAACTCTTCAGAAGTTGCCTATGTTGTTTTATGTTACTCCACGACCACATGCGAGTGCATCTTTTGATATGAACTTCAAGAACACTGTTACCGGCGTATTTCCACCTACAATAATTTCACACTCATGAGGAATTTCCTACTTCATTTTGTGCATTACAACTTAAAATTACYGAGACAGTTAATCGATATGAAAATAATTGGTTCCCAACCTGCCATGTAAGTAACTTTGTTTATAAAGAAAGTTTAAACATTTCACCATGACTTTTGCAAGATAAACTCACATTTAGTGACTCAAGGACTGCACATCATGGCACTCTACTGATGGTGCATTACTAATTATGGGCTCTAGCAGCATTAAGTACACAGTCATGCAAAACTAAAGCACTCTCATCAGTATCAGTTAGGTATTCTTGAAAACATCCACAGTATTTAGCAGCACAAAACTCTATGAATTGAAATTGCAGTGGAGATGAATGTTTCCCTTCTAACTCATTTGATAATTTCAGAGGTGCTGGTGGGGATGGTGGGGATGTTAMACCTTTCTTAAATTGCCTTCTAACCTCAAGAGGGAAAACTGGCATTTAGCTTGAAGACTATGGCGACAGGGTCAACCTTCAAAGTCATATCATCTCTCCTACAAATCCATTTATACTCGACTAAGCAAAGCACTGTTAAAGTAACAATGATATGTGCAATCTACCTAGAAAAATCACCATTAACCACCAAGAAGGRACTAGAGAGGAGTTCAGTGTCTCCCCGAGAATGTATGAACACATGCAACTTACCATTCTTTAGCATTTTTATGGAGAGGTACATTTGGTCTGAATCTTCGGTATGGTGCGTTGCGAACCATGTAATCTACCGACTCCAGAATATCTATCATGCTGAGGTACTAAYGACACAAAAACACATTTTGCAACAAAAGTTCATATTTTTTCACCCACAATTTTCAAAATATAAAAACATCTACCGGAGTCTTCAGTATTCCTTCAAGTATATCAAAATGCAGGCCTATACATTTCCATCAGTATGGAAAAGCAGACCTCTTTGAGAGCACCAACGTAAGAATTTCAGGTTTCTCAAGGGCAAAACCAGTGTGTATTTTCTGTTAGTCTGCTCTCCACSAAGTAAAAGGCCTTCTCAAGCTGATCTTGTTTTCTTCCATTGTCAATATGTGATTTCTCCAAAATGTTTCAATTTGAGCATTATTTGGTGGTAGTGGAACTTTTACTAACCAGAAGTCATCAGAGCGACTTGCAACACTGACTGCTAATGAGTTAATCTAAAGGAGTTACTGGATACCTCTGCAGGCTTTTCTGCCAAGGCTACAGTTCATTCATTCCCACCTTTGTATCTTGGCATGTCTTCAGTTAGGAATGTATCACTTTACAACCTTATMAGATACAGCAGAATAAGAGCACTCATAAGAATCATTCCATTCTCTATGCAAAAAAAAAAAAATGCTACTTAAGCATACTTAAGTGTTGAATAGAGGCCAAATGACCAGAGAGATTCTGTAGATAACAGAGGGCCAAAGTATTAGTATCTACCACCAGAACCTGTTTGTTACACAGATCTGTTGACACAGTTCCTGCTAAGTAGTTTACTCGCATATAAAGAGAAAATTTTCAATGTTTTTAAACAAATAGTAATAATTTAAAAAAAAAAAAAATTACAGCTCCTATCACAAACTCTAGAATAAGTGAGATCAGATACCAAGGCAGCTTACCTGTGGCTTAGTGAGTTCAATGGCAATTCTCTGTACTTCTACATTCCAGTCGAGCTTGGGAGTTTTTAACTCTACTTCTGCATTTGGGTTGATAAAGAGTCTTGCAGAGGCTGATACTGGTCTAAAAACTTCAAGACAAAAATTGAAATTAGTTCTATGTTTAAGACTAAAGAATGAGAAGGCATTTTAAAGTACTTTGCTCCTTCTGGAAAGACCAACTATACAAACCACTTAACAGGTATAAGGCGTGTGCTCAAGACTCACAAATTCATCATGCAACTCCTACCAAAACTCACATCAGCCCAGCAGTCACCAAAAGGCCTACAAGTTTTAAGTTGCTACATTAGGTTAAAGTTCTTGTAAAATAAAACTATTCAGGTCGCACCTATATGATGAGACCAGTATGCCAACACGCTCACAAGTGCTGTATCTTCATATACTCTTAGCTTACTTACTATACTGGTAGTCTTGAGAGCAGCTACTGCTACGTGGAATTCCTCTTTTCAGCTGATCCTGCAAAGTAAAAACATACTCACTAGCAATTGCTTATAGAGTGTTGCTTGGGGGTGACCAGTTCTAATTCACAGGTACTCTGCAGGTTTGCTTGTTTATTTAAAGGGAAACCTAATGCTGCATTTACTTTAAAAGTAAACATTTTTAATACCAGCTAAGAGATCTAAATTACTCTTATCAAAACAAAGATTAGTGCAGTCTTCATTCAACTTCCCTCAAAATCATGCAGATGAACAAACATATAACTCTAACACACATTTACACATGAAATGCAGCAAATAATCTGCTTCCCCCTCTGCCTCCRCAAACACACACACATACAAAATACACTGGTAGGAACTCTGGCTACTTAAAAGTAGGAATGAAAAAGAATATCTACAACAAAAATATACAGAAGATCAATTCTGAATAATCCCAAACAATTCCTATTTCTCATGGTAGCACCATTCAAGTACCAGGAAAAAAAAAAACAAAAAAAAAAAAAAAAAAAAAAAAAAACACACACAACACACTGACCCAAACACTTTTTGCTTAAACATTTTGTCTAAAGCATATTTCACAAAAGAAATATCTATTGATAACACAAACAGCTACTGCTACCCTTCAAAGCCCAATCTGCATCCATGACATGTTTTACATTCACATTGCTTAATGGAAAAATAAACAGAGAATAATCCTTGTTTTTACCTGGGAAGTACTTTGCAACTACAATTTTTTTTTTTATAAAAGGTACATTTTCTAATCAAAATATTTGCATTTCAACTTATTTCCTGTCTACTGATCCATATTAATAAAGGCTAGCCTTCAATGAGATTATTAAATATGTAACAGTTAATCTCACAAACAACCATATGCTCATTTTWAACATGAAAACTGTTGTATGTAAGGGACAGACTGCCAGGGATTACATGGTTTATGATCACCACAGGGCAGACTATTAGCCATTACGATAAATCTGATTTCTTTATAATACTGCTTAAAATTAACACCAAAGTGGCCTRTTTAGGGGGGAAGACCTACTTTTCCAGGAAATAGGTGAAGCTAAGAAGTACACACACAGACAATGTTCTAATCAAAATCATTTGAAATGTTTGTTTAGTCCACATACTTGTTGCAAAATCCTAAAGAAGTCAGACCTTAAGGGAGCACAGAGAATTTACAAAAGTCATGTTTTGCCCATGGTTCTTCCTCTGTGTTTCTTCAATTCTTCTCAGGGGTGTTATGAGCTTATTTCCTATTCTCCCTCTCTCCCCTCTCTTGAGGTTCACTGCCAGATTCAGGGACAGAGAACTCAGAAGACAGATAGTGACAGATTACCTTTTTTTTTTTTTTTTCTGGCACAAGTTCTACATTGAAGAGGTCAAAGATGTACAACAATCAAATAACAGATTATGCTGGCATGTAGACTGATACCAGTACACAGGCCAAAACTGCCAARAGCTTCCAGATTTTGAAAAATTAGAAGGATGAAGGTGCTTTGACTCAATAGGTGATCATAAAACTGTCTGCTGTGCTGCAATCGCTCTGCTCTCACTAAATAATTAAATATATAAATAAAAAATCCTATGTGGAGGAAATACAGCAGTTTTGAGAAATTCAGTCTTGCATTTACAGAAGGCAGGATTGTCAGCTTTCGTCTCAGCTCCCAAAATCTGATCATGGACTGATGGTGATTGCCTCATGACAGACTAGAAAATGGTACTTCCTGACACCCAAGGGCAACAAAACTAGTCTAGTATCTTCATAAACAGCCTTGCCTTCACAACTGATAGTGAACTGAATTCTCCATAAGAACTGAGGTCTAAACTACCAAACAGCATCACACAAGTCACAAGGTCACCTGTCCATAGATACGTCAAAGACCAATTCACAAACGACCTTTCTGARCGATAGTCTCACATATTTGAAGCAGTTAAGACTTTTACTGCTTACAGTTCAAGAACCATGTATTCTGCACAGTCTGCATTAACAGTTCACTTCACATTGAGAAGTAAGAAAAAAAAAGGTCTACCGACAGGCTAAAAACCAAACAAACCTCAGGGTACGCCTAAAGAACTAAGGTTGCTTCACTATTATATACATAAACACCTTTGCTAAACTAAAAAAGCAAAAGTTAAAGTGCACTGAGGCAAATTAACTCTCTAATATCTAAAGAGGAGATACTATATGACTGGAAAGAAAACAACATATTGGTACTATTTTCTACAAACAAAGCCTCAAGGCATTTAAGAAAGCCAGACAGTAACAGCCAGAGCAAAAACAACSTAAGTGCTTAGGTTTCAAGACTTACATAACACAAAAGATTCATAGAATATTAAACAATTGGCTGGGGTTTTCTTTGTTGTTGCTGTTTTTATAACACAAAACAGCTTTGAATCAACCCTCCACAACAGTACCARTCCCACCAAGTTAACCACGTAAATGCGTATTTTGTTGAAGAAAAGTGAAGATACCTGTAAGAAAAGGAAATGGGTAGCCCTAGGAGTCTTCCATCCTTACAGTTTAAGAGGTGAAGTACAAGGACACGTAGAACCACACACATAACACTTAAAAGGAGTGGATATTAACAGATAACAATTTGCACAGATTTGGTACAAACAGCATTCATTCACACCAGAAA